TTTCCTGCTTTTCAGTTTGATGCCTCCTGAGCCTTCTCTTCTCCAGGCTGTACAACGCCAGAACTTGAGTATTAAAATTCCAACTCCTGATATCTTCTGTCACCTAGAGAAATGTGCTGGTGTAGAAACTGCTTTTAAAAAACCCAAACAAATAAAAAGCCTTTTCAGGCTGAAATTCGAGGTTGAAATTTAAACTTGCTCTGGGATATCTGACTGACAAAAGCATGCACGTTTGCAGTGCAGACACCTCTGTGTTAAAACCTACACCTTCCAACAGTAAAAACGATCCTACACCATGTCCCTTGAGAGCAGTGATAAAGCGCACTGAGCTGATTACAGCTTAAAAAAATATTGAAAGCAAAAAAGAGGAAAAAATGGTAGGAGGATTTCCTTCAAAGGAGACACATTAAGGTCAACTCTTCTTGCTATATAAGAAAAGAAACAAATGAAATCAATCATGACTTGGCAGGAATAAGAAAGGTAATACAGAGAAGATTCTGTATCAGTAGATATAGTTCAATAAATTGAACTTCAAACAGTCATTAAAGGACCAAGAAGAAATAATGAATGTTCACTCAAAGAATATTTCAGCTAAAGACAGAACCTTCAAATTATGCAGAAACCAGGCACAACAGAAAAATTAGAGGATTGAAAATTATTGCAGATAGTTACAGGTCAATACAGCTGAGCAGATATCATAAAGCTGCCTGTCCTGTCTGGAAGAATTATGTATCTTTCCAATAGTATAAGCTAGATAGATAGGTCCTGCAGAGACATAAAAAGCATGCAGTGTCCTTCTATCTCTTTGCCTTTTTCAAGGATTTTTTGAAAAGGTTGTAAATCAACTCCTCATAGGGGATCTGTGGTAGGTGGCCCACACAGATCATCTTCAAAATCTGAGGAAACAATTGTTAACCTCACAGCTTCAAGACCAATGGGTTAGTTACCAGGCTGAATAGCATTGCAGACTTCAGACTGCTTTCCTTCATTCTGAATTAGATACAAATAATCCCTTCAATTCTAAACTCTTGTTCCTGTAGGAGGGATGTAGGAGGTTCACAACTTCCCCCCTCATCACAACATGCACTAATAAATGTATTAGTAGTGTCCATATGCTGACTCCTCATAGGTTGTAATTCTTCTTAGCCTATTTCTAGATGTAGGACAGCCAAGACAACTAAGAAACTCACTTTTGAAAATTTATTTTACCATGTATTTACTGGGTAAACTTTACCTGATTTGTCAGTATACTACAGCAGGGCTACAGCACAATCCCTGTAACCACTACTGGCCTCCATCTACTAACATCCTCCAACAGTTCGTGGTCCATGATTTCCAGAATCAGAACAAGATACACTTCTTCAAATACCACCTGGAAACTCTCCTATGGCTAACAAGTCACAAGACGATCAGCCTTGCCAGGAACCCCACACCCCCATGGATCCACCTGACAAATGTCTGAAACCAAATCCACCTAGACCTGGCTGAGCAACTTCTCATTTGTTATGTTCTTATACAACATCAGCCTGTATTAGACTGTCAAATGCAGTGTTAGCTGCACTTGCCATCCTTTCACAACAGCGAAAAAGGGGGACCGGTTACCTTTTTCCCCTACCAATCTCAGACCCATTGTGGGATTCCACTCTACCACTTCTCAGTATTATCCAGGAATACCAAAGTAAGTCTTGGTAACGCAATCACAGGAACACTCCTCCCTTAGTAACTACCAGCCCTTTCCTTGTCAGGGATTTGTTGTTTTGCTTTATGCTGACTGGCTTTATTGCTTTTGGTGGGAATGACACCCTGTTGGAAGACAAGAGCAACTGAAGAGAAACACTGTCTCACTTCTATTGTTCCATGGCCCCAGACACCCAGTTATGCATACTTCTAATTCATGGTTTTTTAAGGATCTTCAGCTTGTATTTCTTGAAGGTCTTGCCTCAGTGAGATTCTGGTACACTACTAGAATATAATGCATGCAGTCACATACTGCTTGCAACCAGTCTGTTTTTCATGCTACCTGCTGTTTTGTCAATGCTAACTTTGTCTGGTCAGCTTGTTGATGTTCCACTTACTGTGACACTCCTACCCACTTGGTAAGTTTCTTCCTCCATGAAAAAGCAGCTCTTGTGCAAGCTCCTCTGCAAGGTTTCTTGGGGCTACTTTTATTAGACTCAGTTTTGATCCACCAGACAGTATTCTTTTGTACCATACCAGAATTTGTGCTAACTCAGTGTAAACTTCATAGGTCTCCTACTCCGGCACACTTTGGTTATACTACTGATTGATGATGGCTCATTTTAGCACAGGATGCACTGGAAAGCCACTTTCATTGCTTCCATCAGCTATACTGCTAGTACGCGTGGTCTTCACAGAGCCAGTAGGCCAAGCTGTCCACAGACTCTCTCACTGACAGCTGACTCAAAAGAGTTCCTCTTGCCTCAGTAAAAAACCCTTCAATGGAGCTCCAGAAAAAGGAAAATTTCACCCGCTTCTGAGATAAAAGGAGCAGGTGTCTTCTCCAGTGACAGAAAACCTGAGTACAGAAGAGATATCAGGAGACAATTCTGCATGACCAAGCAGACATTATAGATGTCGAAGCTATTTCTCCTGTTTGAAAGGAAATAGAACTATCTACCACAACAACTTGGTGCAACACGACCCTGCATGGATGTAAGAGTTTCAGAGTCTTCCCGTCTCTTCCTTTCTGCTTTAACTTTGGGAAAGGCTGCTCAGGCAGTTTCATTCCAATCTCCACTTGCAATCTCATAATCTGAAACCACAGTACAGGCAAAATATGAAAGATCAGTCACCCACTTGAAGGTGATACAGGCTTTAAGCAAAATAGTTTAGTACTAGAGAAAATACTTGCCTGATTATGTAAAAGCAAACCTTGTTTTTAGATTCCACCTTATGTTCCCTTGTAATACGCTCCAATAGGCCTAAGCAGAAATTAATACAGGAAAAAGAATCCAAACTTGGAGACTTCCATCCCGTGTTCTTGGAATCGCCTTTCTTTGTTTCTTTTAAACAGCAAAACCAACAAAATAGAATGCTAAAGAACAATGCTCCCATGAGACTTAAGGGAGTATAATCATTGGAGGTTTCTGCTGAGCAAAGCTCAAGAACAGGAATGCTGCAGCCTCTGAGCTTTCTACTTTTAAACATTTAGTAGTTATGCAATCTTTAAAAGAAAAAATAAAAAAGAGCTTTGACTTTATGTTTGTAAGGCAGCATTAAACACCCTGAACAGATGAGTACAAGATGAAAGATTGGTGCAGAAAATTGCATACGGTATGATGTCTCATCTTTGCCAGTCAGTGACAAAAAAGCAGAACAACATCCATTACACTTTTTCCTCAGCAGAAGGTAAAACAGTGCCACCCACTGCTTTTCCAGGGTATCCCCTTGCCTTTTGACACAGCTGCAGAAAGCTAAAGTAGGCAGTTTCCAATTACAAAACGGCCAGCTCCTAAGCCTTCCTCCCTCACTCCAGCACTGGGGTTTTCTACCAGTTTACACATCTACAGTGATATTTCAGCCACTAGTACCGCTGCACAAAGGAGAAAATAGTTCTTTAAACTTGCTCTACTACAGCTGAAGCCTCACGACAGACAAAAGGCTGAGTCACAGAAAAATGAGCGGGGTTTTTTTTTACCCTGGGAGCAGTAGTTTCTTTGACCACAGACACTACTTGTATGCAACTCACACAGTTTCAAGCTGAAGGCAATACCGTATCGCACCAACTGTAAATAAAGATCGTCTGCAGGGCCAGAATACCCAACTGTGTTTTTAATATCCTTCCATTAATTTTGCATCATCACTTTACCAAACCAGAAAACAAAGTATCTATCATTTACGTTTAAGCTAGGTCACAGGTCATTCTCTATAATCGACATGCCTACCCAGCAGTTTGTCTTCCATTGCTACACGGAACATTCATTGAATCCAAGGATCATCAGTGATTAGGACTAGTAATACTCAAGCATTAAAACAAAAAGACCACTTAAGGCTTTTTTTACTTCTGTTAAAAAGAAACCAGTACTCACGCACGTCTTGCTTATCTAGACTATCCTCTGCTGGTGGAGAAAATGGCAACTCAGCATAGCAAAGTACCAATCAGTTAAGACTCTACAACTACCTCATCTTTCATTAGCAAAATACTCTGTAAGCCAGTTTACAACAGGAAGCAGAATCCCCAGTTGCTCAGGCTGAAGAGTGTGCAGGCAAATATTTTAACAAGAGTCACATATAGTTCGGTACTCTCTCTTTAAAAAACAACTACTTAACAAGAACTCTGGAGAATTCCAAAAAGGTCAGTCAGTGTACAGAACTACATAAACTTCTAGGCATGTTTAATTACCTCAAAACCAGATATACTTTGTTGATAAGTAAATATTCCTAAATAGTCCTTACATCTTGCATCTTATTAATCAGAGATTCTAGTCATGGTTTGGGCTTAGCTGCGGTGTACAGAAAATGGCCATAAGACATTCAAATATCAGCAAGAATACATCAAGATATCTACAGCTGAATTCAAGGTCTCAAGCTAAAGGGAAAACTGTAGACTCCAAATGCATTTGAGAGTTCTCTCTGTGGTTCCTGAGGTGACAACTTAAAAATGTATATGAATGTTCATAATAGAATCTTTGGAAGCAAGTCTGATCGTATTTATACTACTGCTCGATAAACGTCTAAAAATTTCCTTTGCTATGTATCTAAACTGCCAACCATTCACTTTTAAGAAACACTTTCTATACTGAGCTCTCTTCCTCTTTAAAACGAGCAAGCATTTAAGACAACTCATTTCTCTTCAGGCATAAAATTAGAAATTTTTCACTGGTCCTGAATATCAATGACAGCAGTTACCTAGCGCCATAATCAGACGGTCATATGAATTCATACTTTGCTGTGACAGTTCAACACAGAGCTATGGATCTGCTAGAAGAAAGTATTCACATGACTTTGAATTAGTGCAATACAGTGCTAACAAATACACAAAAAGACATTAATGTATTCCAGACATTTGTATTTCAGTGTACAGTATCATACATTTAAAATAAAGAAATAAGGCCCAAATATCATAAAAAATAATATAGCGTTTGCTAGACAAATACCTTACCAAGAACAATGCATGTTCTAGCCCATACTTCATGGAGTTAGAATGAAGTTCAGGCACATAAACAGGAATACTTTATTCTTGAATGATTTACAACTCTTTTGGTCTGTTTAACAGAAAACGAACCAACTGACGCATAACTTCATCATTAAAGCCTTTCACACTACCATCTTCCACAACATCATACAATGGCTTACTGTCTGTACCCCAACAGATGTTCTTCCGAGGGTTATTTCGAATAGTTTCTACAGTTAGTGCTAAAGTATTTAGCTGGTAACAGAAGAAAGCAAAGTATTTTCCATCAGTCACTACTGCCTGTGATACAAAAGGACGGGTCACATCTGCTTCACTCCAGAATCCTACAAAGCAAAGAAACAACACTAGTTATGCAGGACTCAAAATTCCTGTCAGCACACACATCTAAAGCCCAAACCTGAAATACCAAAAACTACTGGGAATTGCAGCAGGAACTTTGTAGAGGAAAAACTGCTGTCTGCTTTAGCAACACACACATTCTTCATACAGACTAATTAAAATGCAACCACCAATTAAGGATATTTCCAAGAACAGGGACACAGTGGTGTACTTGCATTTTGCACACAGTTCCCTGTCACTGACTGATAAAAACCCTACACTGATCAGCCAAGTGACTTTTCAAAATTATTTAAGTGATTAATGCACCCAAGTCCTGCAAGCAATCTGAGGGGAAACGTCTTTTGACTGCTCCATGCTTCTCACAGGACAGTGAACGTTGGTTTCATGACAGAAGCATGCATATGTATACATGAGCACGACTGACTATAGTAACCAGCCAGACAATACCAAGAACACTATGTCAGGAAGTGTTCATGTTTCAAACAATCCCTGCTGAGAATTAATAGTCTTTTTAAAATATTTTCTTTACATATTTATGCACGTGTGCTAGCATACACAGCAATATTCTTAAAAGGTATTTGATATTATCTGCACAGAACACCACTAGAAACTGTTACAGAACAAAAAAAAAAACTTCATAAATTATGCTGTCCTTCTCACTCGTAACATGCTTAAACCTGTAACCAGCTTTGAAGTCAAGACTTACTTGACTTCAATGTTTTATGGCCACAAAAAAGTCAAACTTTCTAAGATACCACTACGTAAAAAAATTTGACGTAGAGTCAGCAATATATGTCATAGTCAAAGAATTCTCTTCCATGTGTTGTTTCACAAGCAAAACTACAAACCAGCACGTGTCTTCCAGTAACACTAGATAAGAATTAGATTTACATGAATAAGCAAAAGACCGATCTAGTCTATCCATCCAGGTATTCCAGTATTTTTTGACAAACATAGGCATAAATACTAAAGTAAGGATGCTGACATTTTTCTTTGACTATAGTTTCATAGAACTGACATCTCTGAAACAGGCCATTAAGCAACATAGCTGTTTTAGAAATAAACAAACAAACTACTTGACATCTACCACCTTTCCCCGCAACAAATGTGAACAAGTGAATGCAGGATTGATGCTTTTGCACAGGCTTAGTGTTATATATGAAAAAAAAAATTCTGCATAATTAATTCCCGAGTCAAAGTACTCACAGACAAAGTGAGTTTGTATGTTGTATAAGGTCTGCTTCATTCAATTAAATTTTCAAACACCTACTTAAAGGATGGTCTTCAGAAGAAAAAGCATGAGAAAAAGGTGGTGGAGAGAAAAGGTTAGAGAACTTTACAGTAGGCATTCATCACCCAGAAGAATCTATCAAGTCGACTGTCTCACCTTGATACATTGCCTGTGCTGCTGTCCAGGCAAAGAGACTTGCAATACCATTAGCTCGATAAAGAACTTCAATCTGATCCTCAAGATGTGCTCTTACAAACCTCTCCCGTTTCAGTTTATCAGGAATAAGATGAAACTGAGTGTGTCCATAACAGCATGGATCTGCTACCTTTGATCCTGTGTTCCCCAAAAATAAAAAAAAAAAAAAAAATTAAAAGTCAGTCAGAGAATGCTCTTTATTATGCATATGAACAGTTTTTAGTATCAGGCTCCAAACAACAGCAGATCAGAACCTCTACTGTAGGCCTGCATAAATGTTGAGATTCCCCCATTTCTGGGTGAGACTGGAGGGCTTGCCCAACTCCAAAACGCAAGAGTTCACATCCTAAGAAGTCTCTGAGGAGAAGTATCAAAACTCAAAGCCAGTTTTCTACTAATTCTCTATTCAACCCACCTCCTTCAAGTGAATCTGGACACAGAGTATCATACGCACAGGAGGATGCAACTCCCCACCGCATATCTTACATAGAATCTCAACAGAGATTTATATACTACTTACATTTAGATAGTATAGTTATACACGAAAATATACAAAAGTTTTTTTCTGTTGATGGGAGGAGAAAGGTCGGGGGGTGTTTGTTTTGGGGTTAGATTTTTTGTTGTTTTGGTTTTTTATGCAAAAGAAGTAGTTAAAGTTGCATGATTAAAAACTCTTACCTATAAATACCTTGTTTTCGTACTGCTTTTTGAACAACGGCAGTTTGGATGGTTTGTGATCAATAACGGGAACATCTCCAAGATCTGACTCCAGCGGTACAATCTTGAATGAAGTAGAAGAAAGAAAAGCCATGACACAAGTCACATTTCTGACATCAGGCCTCACATAACATGCCACTTTCTGGTCAGACAGCAGAAGGTGCAAGTCTTGCTTGCTATAAATTTAAGTGAAATACATTTTTTTGCAACAGAACTTCTCGTATTGTTATAAGTCCTGGTACATGCATCTCATACTGATGCTGGAATTTTCTGTAATATACAAAAAAATTGCGTGAAATGGTGCTAACAAAGCTGCCAACCAGTAAAACCTTCAAAACCAGAATTCACTTTCTGTAGAAGACAAGCAAAACAGTTCCAGTAGCAGTAAATAAGCTTGAACCAGCAGAGTGAAATTACAGGTATACAGTGTTTTGCACTATGTAACATTTTTAGTTGCCTAGACAGTTCTTCCAAAATGCCAAGGTTTGTAACATCTGACAGTACTAATCTAAGCAAACTGTACAATTAAGTTAGCCACAACTGTTCAACATTTACAGACAGCAGAGCGCAGTTGTCTGTTTGCGGTGGAAACTGTGCAACAGACACCCACACAGGCTACATAATTACCACTGAACCAACCTACAAGAAAAAGATGAGAATGTTGAATCAGCTTCCAGAAAACTGAGCATTCAAGAAAACAACTGTTAAGAAGTACTAACAGGTAACACAACTCCCACTCAGATTATATGTGCTCTCTGTTACTCCATTCTTTTCTTCTCCACTTCTCTCATCTTATTCTCCACTGAGAACGTTCCACACATTCTAATTCTAATTCGTGCCTCCACTTACAAACGTAAGTTAAAAACTCTATTTAATTAAGTGTAACAACATGCATTTTTCTAAAGCACAAAGACGACCAATTTGAAGTTCTGAAGACCATCCCAGTATCGACAAAGCAGCTACCACAACAAAGTAGTAACGGCATTAAGACTTGAAAAACGCAAAGATGTGCTATATGTCTGATTAATCACATTCTCCATATACTACCTATCGCATGGTTTCCATGGCTGTCAGAAACACAGATGAAAATGCATGTGATTAACTTGCTGTTCAAAATATTCGTACCTCTGGAAGCTGCTTTGGGACACGTATCTGGAGGTGTGGGTGATCATCAATCTGAAATCGCACAGGATCAACTCTACCCTTTCGATGTCCATGAACAACAACTTCCTCACCATGATGCCAGTAATAGTTAACTTCAGGTTTTAGATCTGAAACAGAACAGAGCGCTAGAGAGAAACAAAAATCGTCCCGTTTGCATTTAAAACCCTCTCAAATCCTGTTCTAGCAGCTGCAGTAAAACAGAACAAATCAAAATCCACTCGCACCATGTGGGACGATGGAAACGAGATGAATTACTAGCGACGGTCTGAACAACGCAGCCAC